GGGCAGGAGGCCCCGGGGTCAGCTGGGGGGGGAGGGGACACGCCTGGGCTTCAGTGGTTCTTGGTGGCTTTCCTCTTGGTGGGGCTCATGGCTTCTCGCTCAGGCACAAGGCAACCCCCATGCAGCCAGCGTCGGGGGTGGAGGAAAAGGCTCTGCGGGGAGAGAACGGGGTCCAGACAGCAGTCAGGATTCTCCCAGAACTAGCGAAGGAGGCAGCAGGAGCCTGGAACCTTCTAACCGCAGAACTCCTGCTTTCCCCGGGACTCCAGGCATCGTAGGACAGTGCCACCAGAGCACCAATGCGGGGTACAACACAGGCCATATGCCCAGGTAACAGAGTACCGGTGCACCTGGGAGCTCCCTGCGAACCAGGCCCGGGCGGCACGCACACGGCAGGGCGTCCTGCCTTCCCTTCCCGGGGCTCTGGCTGTGGGCACCGCACCTGCCTCGGCATCTCTCTTCCCAGGGACAGAGCGTTAGGAGGTTGACTTCAGAAGAAACCACTCTCTACCTACAGTATCCGAGGCACCAAGTCCTCCAAGTTCACATTCTCTGTCAGAAGCAGCACAGCCTGGTCCGCGATGAGGGAGGCCTGGCCCAGCTGGACCAGGTGTCAGGCATCAGCCTGAGGAGGCCATGCCTCTCCCATGTCACAGGTGGGAAAACTGAGGCCCGGGGAGGTGAGGGCTGCGTGCGCCAAGCCCACGCCACTTGCACCGAGCTGGGATTCTGGGCCAGGCTCTGCATAGACATGGCACCGGCCTTGGGCTGCATGCCTTCGCCCGGGAGGGGAGCTTGAGGCTGGCCTTGCCCACCATCCAGAGCACTGGAAGGGCGGTGGGATGGGCGCTGCGGAAGCGGGGTGTGCACACGTTACACAATGTTACTGCCACCCGTGATGTAAGTTCCGTTCCTCCCTGCCCGGTGCTGTCCACAGTGCGGTTGGCTCTTTCTGACCTGCTTTTCTCTTTCTGGTGAATTTTAGGTTTAGCACAGCGACTCGATGAGGTCATGTAGGGGTGACACCGAGCGGGGAGGAAAGGAGAATGTGCTTGAGCAGCCTGGGGGTTCAGGCCCGATGACTGCACGTACCTGTTCCCTGAGGTGGGCCCTGGGCCCTGGTGTCGTCTGGCTGGACCAGGCCCCCAAGGGCTTTGGAGGTGGATGGAGTCAGGTGAAGCAGCGGCCCCGCTAGCAGCCCCCTCACCGCTCTGCTCTCCTGTGTTCCACCCCAAACGGTCTGCTGTTGGCATCACATTCTTTGCTCAGAACAGAATTTCTCGACCTTGGCACTATTACATATTTTTTAAAATATGTTTTTATTTTATTTTTAGAGAGAGAGAAAGGAAGAGGGAGAGAAAGATAGAAACATCAATGATGAGAGAGAATCATTGATTGGCTGCCTCCTGCATGCCCCACACTGGGGATCGAGCCCACAACCCGGGGAATGTGCCTCCACCGGGAATTGAACCGTGACCTCCTGGCTCATAGGTCAACACTCAACCACTGAGCCATGGGGCCGGGCCAGGCCAGACATACATTTTTATTTCTCTTGGGCATACCCCTAGGAGTATCAGTGCTGACTCGTGTGGTAACTCAATGTTTGATTTTCTCTAGCTGTTGACATCTTGGGTAATTGACATTCTGAGGTCATTCTTTGTTTTGG